GCCATTCTCCCCAATCCCTTTCCGTACTACGCGCCCCTCTTCCCTACTCTCTTCCGTACTCTCTTTTCACAAGAGAAGACAGTTGCGAAAAGGAACCTGGTCGCTTCTCGTACTTGTGTTTAGGGAAAAAAGGATTTTTTATCCCTCTATGTGCTAGGTCGGGGTGCGCATCTCTCCTCGTGCACCGCCTCCACCGCCTCTTCCCCTATCTCGAAATAAGCGTGAGGCGCCGGTGCTCGTAGGGAAAACGGCGGGCCCATCTCTCTCTTTCCGATATTTTCTCCCTTATCTACGCCGGCGGGGCCACGGTGGATTCCTCGGTAAGGTCGTCGAGTACATCGCGCTGCGCGTCGGCCTCCTTAACCGCCGCAGCTCTCGCGGCGACGAACAAAGGCCGAGCAGCGGCGGCTGTCGTGAGCTTGCCATCTATATCGTTTCTTCCTTCGCTCACACAAACCCAGTCGCCCTCTTTTGCTTAAACGTACTTGCTGCATGAACTGGCATTGTCTCTTTTTTTTTGCCAGTGGGTGTAGTTTAGGGCGGACTCTCAGCACTTCCAGTCAGACTACTATCTTTACTTTATTGTCTAAACTAATGGGAACGTAACAAACACGAACTAAAATGAAAGGTCATGGGCCTACTTATTCACCCAAATGCTGCTACTTTCACCTACGCAGTCTTCCACCCACCAAACTTCTTGCTTTTACTTCTTTTGACTGCAGTGTTCCATGCGAAAGCTGCGTTTGTGCGCATGCTTTCCTACTTTTATTCGCTGTATATTTGCTCGCCTTATTACAAGACATCTCGTTAGTAAGCTCGTTCTTTCTTCACCATGGGAACGCGTAATAGGGACGCGGCCACGTATTTTGGAAACGCGACGTGAACCGGCGTCAATTTGCCCGCTTCGTGTTCAAGTTAGCAGTCCTGTTTACAGCCAGATACGGCCACTCATTATAACTTCTGGATTGCTGATCAAGAAGAACTTCACGTCACGCCAATTAGAAGGGCAACCAGTGCAACAGAGTCCGTTAAAAATAAGAATGATTTTTAGAAATTTCGTAATTATGCTTGCTCTTAGCAAGGAGCGTGAAACGTGGTTTCGCTTTCGTGGCGAATGTAAAAAAAAGAAGACGAGAGGGAAAAAACCCCGCTCGAGTTATCCTTACGAATCGACATTGGTATAGCTTTGAGATCAGATCAAATAAATTTGTTTACAGTAGTAAGTAGCCCTTTAAGTCTTGCGTACTGAATAAAATTTTAATTAGCACGTGCAATGGCAGTAAAAACTTTTAGTTACGGTTTTCAGGGGTGAGGCACTTGGTGAATATACGCAGCTCTGAAGCCGTACTCTTTCCCAATATACGGAAATCGAGGCAATCAATTATGTTACCTCTTACAACATCATACTGATGAAAGCGTTTTCGTATAGTGATTATGCCTAATAGTTTGCCTTCTCGGTATTGTGTGCACATGCAGGCGAGTCACAGATGAGAAATGAAAAGAAGTGCTGAACAGTACAATGTATTCCAAGGTGACATTTGCGAAGAACGAAAAAGCTCACTTCATACGGATGTATTCACAATAATGCAACGTTATTTAAGTAGACGTTTTCACAATTGTTTAAGGCGTATCCACCCAAATACTTGCCTGTATAAGGCTATCAAGCAAGCGAGGTTAACAAGTGTTTCGATTGTTGTACTATCATCATCATCATCATCATCATCAGCCTGACTACGTCCACTGCAGGACAAAGGCCTCTCCCATGTTCCGCCAGTTAACCCGGTCCTGTGCTTGCTGCTGCCAATTTATACCCGCAAACTTCTTAATCTCATCTGCCCACCTAACCTTCTGTCTCCCCCTAACCCGCTTCCCTTCTCTGGGAATCCAGTTAGTTACCCTTAATGACCAGCGGTTATCCTGTCTACGCGCTACATGCCCGGCCCATGTCCATTTCCTCTTCTTTATTTCAACTATGTTATCCTTAACCCCCGTTTGTCCCCTAACCCACTCTGCTCTTTTCTTGTCTCTTAAGGTTACACCTACCATTTTTCTTTCCATTGCTCGCTGCGTCGTCCTCAATTTAAGCTGAACCCTCTTTGTAAGTCTCCAGGTTTCTGCTCCGTAGCTAAGTACCGGCAAGATACAGCTGTTATATACCTTCCTCTTGAGGGATAGTGGCAGTCTACCTGTCATAATTTGAGAGTGCTTGCCGAATGTGCTCCACCCCATTCTTATTCTTCTAGTTACTTCAATCTCGTGGTTAGGCTCTGCGGTGATTACCTGCCCTAAGTACACATAGTCTTTTACAACTTCAAGTGCACTATTACCTCTCTCGAAGCGCTGCTCCTTACCGAGGTTGTTGTACATTACTTTCGTTTCCTGCAGATTCATTTTAAGACCTACCTTTCTGCTCTCCTTGTCTAACTCCGTAATCATGAGTTGCAATTCGTCCCCTGAGTTACTCAGCAACGCAATGTCATCGGCGAAGCGCAAGTTATTAAGGTATTTTCCATTAACTCTTATCTCTAACTGTTCCCATTCTAGGCTTCTGAAAACCTCCTGTAAGCACGCGGTAACTTGCATTGGGGAGATTGTGGCCCCCTGCCTTACACCCTGCTTGATTGGTATCCTGTTGCTTTCTTTATGAAGCCCTATGGTAGCAGTTGATCCCCTGTAGATTTCTTCCAGAATGTTTATATATACTTCATCTACACCCTGATTCCGCAGTGTCTGCATGACGGCTGATATTTCTACTGAATCAAACGCCTTCTCGTAATCTATGAAGGCTATGTATAGTGGTTGGTTATACTCTGAGCATTTCTCTATTACTCGATTGATAGTATGAATGTGGTCAATTGTTGAGTAGCCTGTTCGAAATCCTGCTTGTTCCTTTGATTGATTGAATTCTAATGTTTTCTTTACTCTGTTAGCAATTACCTTTGTAAATAGCTTGTATACTACAGAGAGCAAGCTGATCGGCCTGTAATTCTTCAAGGCCTTGTCATCTCCTTTCTTATGTATTAAGATGATGTTAGCGTTCTTCCAAGACTCTGGTACCCTTCCCGTCAGGAGACACCTCGTAAACAGGGTGGCTAGTTTTTCTAACACAATCTGTCCTCCATCTTTCAGCAGGTCTGATGTTACCTGATCCTCACCAGCAGCTTTGCCTCTTTGCATGCTCTCCAAAGCTTGCAAAGTTGTTGTAGTATAAGTTAGCATAATGCGCGTCGTTCGCCGCACAGCACCGCGTCACTGTTTCTCGCGGTAATCTTTGGGTAGAACAACTTATATTTGTTTCATAATAAGTGGTCAAAGGCAGTTTTTCGGACGCTAAGATACCCAAGCCAGAAACTTGCACTGTCTGCGGCCAAACAAAGAAACGAACGAATGGGAACAAATGAATGAACAAATGAACAAAAAACCAGCAGATCCAACACGCTCATGTGAAGTCTACGTATAGCGAAGCTTGTTCGTATCGTTCATCCGACGGTTCCAGGCACATGACGCGATGCCTTTTCTGGACGTCTGTTGTATCAGAACGTGAAGTGAATGATCCCGACAATAGTTTGTCACCTAATTACAACGGTAAGTAAAGTGGAAAGCTGAAAGTGATTAGAAGATCAAAGGTATAAAATTCAGTTAGGTTAAGAGAGCAGGAATGTAAACTGGAAATAGAAATTGAGAGTAACATAAGAGATCATAAGTTGAAAGAAGGGAAGAAACAGAAAGGGAAATGGCCAGAAAGTTAACCAGAAAGACTTCCCGTTGTCTACTCAACACTGGGGGATTACAGAAGGCAATTGGAGATGCTGGCATACTACCGCAAGAAACTAATTTTTGTTTCGTTGTCACATTTTGATTTTTGATACATTGAAGTGAGAAAATCCGCACATGACACCTAATATTAATTTAGCGCAATAAAGCAACGTGTACTCGACTCCAGTAGGAGCAGTGGTGCAGCACACAAAATTATATATTCTTAATGAGACTGGTAACTATGTTAATCATCTCAAACTGCGTAATAAGCTGTTCAGAAGCAATGTGCATTTAGGTAGTAAAGTTGATTTTAATAACTATTTCATGGTCACGCATGCTATGGAGTGTCTCAAAGCTTGTTTCACATGTTCGGCCAGGTTGATTTTTGCCGTATTTTACCATTTGGACCAAACATTTATTTGGTTTTTTTGTAGGTGTTTTTTAAACCTGTGCATCCAATATTTCTGGAACAAATTCTTAGTTTACTTAAGTTCCTCGGCCTGGGTCTATCGGCATAGCTTAATTATGGTCGCCGAACTTTGTATTAACGAACGTGAAACGTCCTGCATGTTACGCGCGCGATGCTATGCGAGCTTGCTGGTAAAAACTCACAGGGTGCTTCGCGATTTCGCTCGGAGGTGAAATGCATAATTTTCTGTTTCTCAGTCAATCTATTCATTGGGCCCGCCACTTTTGGGAAACATTTCTGCAACTAACATGGTTTATGCACTGCCTCCAAGACCGAAATCACCTCACCTCACCACCTCGACAAAGCATTGATGGGACAAAATGACGGCATCAGGTGGCGTTAGGGTGACGTCGTAGTGACGCCATTATGACTTGGTGACGTCATATGAATTTGTTATGTTGTCGCATGATATAGTTACGTCATTTTGTGGTTATTTTTAGATGGGTAGTCTCTGATTCCGCACGACACGAGGCGGCCCCGATGCGGTACGCTGACAGGCAAATTTCGCGCTTAATGAGACATCTAAAACTTTCGCCTCAACTAATAACGAGTAGATTTTCTCGCAGCGCCAATATAACATAGGACAAACGTAGACACAGGTGGATTTATGTGTATAAGCTTTATAAATTTTTTCCAGTTTTTCAATTGCGTGATAAGAACACATACCAAAGATACCATTTGCAGTCACAATGTGTCAAACAAACATTCGTAGCTCTACCGAGTTCGAAGTGTGTGTATTTACGGCACTTCGTCTGCTGTCTTTCTGTCTCACTAGGTGGCGTGGTTGCGAGTGGCGAGCAACACTATCCTGACGATCCACAAGAGCGTCATCACGCAGAACTACCGCGTCCACCTGAGTCCCTCGGACCGCACCTGGCTTCTTGTCATCGACAACGTCCAGGAGTCGGACCGCGGTGGTTACATGTGCCAGGTCAACACGGTGCCCATGCGCAGCCAGGTCGGATATATCGATGTGCTCGGTATGTCGTCAATTAATTAATTAACATTGAATTGAACGCAACCCTATAGCTGCACTGTCAGTGGAGACGTTTGTTTCCAGATCACGAGTGACGCCAAAGAAATGAAAGAGTTTTCTAGCCATATATGATGCTAGTACCAGTAAAGCTGTGACAACCTCACTTGTACGTATACAAATGCTGCTTACTTAGCTTGAATAAGTGAGCGAGCTTAAGTTCGGTCGCAAAATTCGACAGATGTTACGACAGACGTTACGATGTGGGCCGACGTGATTTTGTAAGGACAGTATTTGTGTGCTCATCATGAGCTCACCAGATGCGTCGGCTACACTGACGTTCAAAGTGTTACCTGACAGTCTGACGTAACGCCGGCACTCATATTACAGCACATACGTCAGAATTGTCGAAACCAAGCGCACTTTACGTGCGATGGTGTGAATATCATACGTAACTTTTTTTGTTACCCTATTCCTTCCTGGTTGAGCAACTCTTGATTATGGCTCGCTGAAGCACAGCAATATATAAATGCGATCTTTAGTAGACCACTAAAAATCAGAACCAGCTCTGCAACCACAATTGACCCCGCATGAAACCTGTATGACAGGAGTAAGTATGAGATGTTTATTGGTTTGTTAGAAAATAGATAACCAGCACGCGAAGCACAATCGACGTTGCAGTGACATTACACTTGGATGGAGTTTTTTTTTTTCTTTGAAATCGGCTACAACACCTAGCGTGGCTCTGTGGTAGGCCCATTTTCTGTGTTTATTTCTTTTATTCACGTCTAATCTCTGTTGTCTTCCATCGAGTAGAGATTTTAATTTGTGAAGTTTTGTTTCTTGTGTAATATGACACGTTTTGCTTCTTTGTTCTGATTTTTTATTGTTGTAACCAGCTCCCCTCTGTAATACCTCGGAAATTGAGGACAAGAAAAACAACAACAACAAAGCAACAACAACAACAACAACAACAACAATAATAATAATAATAATAATAATAAAAACTTGTGACTGCCACGCAGAATGCCTGGGTTCTATTGCTGCTGGGACTCCGATTTGTATCCTTCTCATTCATCTGGTCAACGTGGACGATATAAATTTTTTCCTAACGCCCTCGCATTTAAATAACCAATGTTTTTTCTTCCCTTGCCTGGCTAGCTATAAAATTTCAGTTAGCTGCGTGGCGTAACCGCATACAGTAGCCGAGATATATGGCCATGGGCCATACTTGTCTAGAGGGAAACGTTTGATTTTCTCCTTATTGATGCGATCAATCGACAGTAATATTCTTCATACCCTTTTACCCTCTCAAGCAAACTTTGGTCTACAACAAGTTAAGGAGAGGTCACAAGAGCAACCAGACGTAGGCGGATGGAGAGGTGAGGAAAGGAAAAGCGGAAGGACAGGGAGCTTAGCCACAGCTCAGACAAACTGGCTAACCTGCGCTAGAGAAGGAGGCACAGGGAATAAAAGATAGAAAAAAGGGGACGTTACTAAAGAAAGAAGACAATAACCGCCACTGTCTAAAGTCTGTCTCTAAGACTAGCTGCCCTCAAGAAACGCAACAATGTTCTCAAAGCTTTACGAAAAAAAAAAAAAAACGGTCAAAGTGCGTTTGGTTCGCTAAAAATGCTTCGCATTTAAAAGATCGACCGAGATGGTCCACAATTTTAAAGGCTGTTAATGCGGTCGCAAAAAAATGAAAACACAACTTCAATTGATACGATTAAATCATAGTTAAAAACAAAATAACCAGCTGATAATGAAGGAAAAGAAGGGAAAAGATGGCTTCATACTTTACGCCATACTAAGTGTGCTGCTTCACGACGCAAGGTACCCGTTCTCCGTGAAGTTGGCTGTAGGCATCAGGCTATTAAAGAAGCTCAAACAGGGAACGGCGTCATGTTTGGAAACAGGTGGGATGACTAGTTCTAGCTCCAAGGTGGTAGCGATACCTTATGTACATAGGCTTTCGCATAGAATAAAAAAAAAGTGGCCGGAAAGTATGACGTAAAGGCGGTGTTTTCGGCAAAAAAAAAAAAAATAGGAGGAGTGTGCGCGTTGGTCGACCAGAACCACTGACCAGCGTACATAAGGAATGCAGCATAAAACATAAGCTCAAGTTTGTTGAATGGGCCCACAATGTGGTGTATTGCACCTTTGTCGTGTGGTTGTGTATATATAGGGCAGACTGGCTGGTGCATTAACACGAGGCTAAGGGAGCATATGTCAAGTCTGAAAGGTTGCCCAGACACCCATTTGGCAATGCATTGCAATGAGAGCGCGTGCTCTCCTTGTTTTTGCGACACTACCTTGGTATATAGGAATCGAAACAAGACGTCAAGATAGATGATGAACGCTTGTCTTGTGGACAAGCAGAAGGGCGAGTGTGTTAGCCATCCTTTGGTAGCCTTACTAGAGAAAGAAATTTCGCTTATGTCGGTTAATCAATGAGCTTGTTATCGTTATTTTTGATATGTGCGCAGTACATTTGTTTTTTTTTTGTGACCAGAGAGCGCAGATCTGAATGGTATAAAGTGAATGTTTTTGAAAAATAAACCAGTTGTTAGATTGCGCCCGTTTGTCATCCTTTCTGTGTCCCTGTGTGCTTACGCAAATATTTCAAGATGCTTTGATCAATCTCTTTCTGAAGGCAGTCTACTCTAAGAAGCCCCTTTCCACATTTTTAAATGTTTACGCTGAGCGAATAATGCTGACGTGTACAAAAATTGATTAGCATAGCTGGGAATAGGAATATTGTGGTGCCTTAACTTTATAACCTGAGAAATCTAGCGACTGTTCAGGAAAGAATTAAGGTACAATAGCGATCACTGTTTTTTGCAAAAAAAAAAAAACGACATCAACAAAGCAATGCCCTTGCCCGTCTCTTCCAGTTATGTCATCGGACCACTGCTAACTCTATAATCTTGCATTGTCACATTTCCATTCGCTCTTTTCATTTACATTTACATCGATCTGGATTCCTCGTACGCAGTCCGTGGCTTAGCGCGACTGAGACAGGGCTCGGCAGTACGCACGATTCTTCGGCAATGAGCAGAGAACGAACCATTCGCGACAGCTTGGCATCGTGCGAGCATATATTAACGAGGTCACGTTTACGCTGACGTGAACTCGCTGAAACGAGACAAATAGGAAGTCGCTTCCACTCCGACATCTTCGTCAGCGCGGTAATTAAGGCAAACTTCCGATGCACGAGAAGCTCCGAGGAAGAGCGTCTGCTTCTCTTATTATTAAGTAAGGTGCCGCATGCCGTTTTCCCCCGCGTAAACACACGAATAAGTGCAGCGCGTGCAAGGTTCTTCTTGTTGGTCGTCTCCGTGTCGTCGGCCCCTGCTGGTGGGAAAAACTGTCGCCCCCCCCCCCCCCCCCGCCGCCTCGGGGGCACGAGTAAGCGGCAATCGACCGAGCGTCGCGTATATCGAGCGGCCTGCACCGAGCTGCGGCGTCAGCTTCTCTTATCAAAATGACAGCCGCAGAAGCAATCGACGCCGAGGCACAAAGGAGCCTCTCCCGAGGCCCGGGGCGACACCCCGGCGCGTTCCTTATTCCCTCCCATTTGCTCGATACTTCCCCGAAGCCAAGCTCGGCCTCGAGCTCCGCGCACTTCTGTTCAAACACTGATCATCGCTGTTGGAGACCTCGCGGCAGCAGTTGGTTGGCCGAGAAGGTGTCGCCCCCGTTTGCTCCGGCTGTTTAGCGGAGGAGATAAGCTTCTGTGCGTGCGGCTTCGGCGAGCTGAGCTTACGGCTACTGCGTAAATATATAGTGATCGGGTGTTGTTGTCACCGATTTGTGCAATTAGCTATACACGCTCGTCCGTGCTGCTGGGTGTTCGAAACGCCAGCCTGGAGTTTAATCAGTAGCGGTTGATAGAGATACATAAATAAATACACTGGAGTGTGGCTTTAGCGCCGTTTCCGGTGACAGCTGTGATTAGAAAAAAAGTTTGTGCTGGCTGGAGGGTTAAGCATGTTTCAATGCCCTGACGCTCAAAACGCCATTCGGCGTGGTTTAGAAGCAAGCGCGAAAAAGTTCTCTTCTCTTTCAAAAAGGCTTGAGGGAGTAGACCTGATAAGGCTTTTCTTAAACAAATATACAACGAGTCAAATACAGGACCGGCAATACGAACACTTAGTGTGAGAAATGACACTATCGTTTCATCGCTACCGGCCCCGACTTGGATGCTAAATGGTACCCACTAGTAATAATATTATCTGTGCCATGTTTCTACAATAACTACGATACTATTATGAAGCATGCCACAGTGAAGTGTTCAGAAAATCTCAACCCCATGGGGATTCTCATGAGGCGAACCTACATCTACGTACACGGGTTTCAAGCATTCCGCCCTCGTCTAATAGCGACGACCATCGCCAAGATCGAACCCATGACAATCGGGTCAACAGCCAAGAACCACAACCACTGCGACAGCGAATGAAACATACTAAGAAGTGTTGGCAGAAACACCTGACGTGATGACCCTTACAAGATTGATAGTATTACTAAAACAAAAGAAACTTGCCTCACCGTTGCAAGCATGCCGTCGACGGGGCTGAACTTCTCTAACACCGTACTACTGCTGAATATTAGGGACAGGGTTGGTGAACTTTTATTGGCTGTCATTACACCGCGAATTCTCTCTTGAAGCGTCGTGGGTATGAGGAACTTTGCAAGGATTCGTCGATTGTCGTTCGCCATTGACCAAGAAAAACAGGAGGAAAGAAAAAGGATATCAACGCTTGAAAATAAATTCTACACGCTTTGTCTAGACGGAAACCAAGGCTTGATTATCTCTAAATTCAGTGAACTGGGCTTTTAACAGCGCTAGCTTCTTGAACGAGATTATATTGCGTACCGTAAGAACACCGTTTGAAAACACCGACAGAGCGAGACTTCCATGTTTCACACTAAACGTACATTGCTCTGTCCACCTTGCAACGCGAGTGTCTTCCAAGCGCGTCCCTAACGGTACGGGCTTCCTGA